CGGTATGAAAAACAAAAACGGTTACATCCATTTCATAATTGATGACAAACGCATTTTCGGACGCTGTGGCCATTTGTCTTTAACAATAAGCTTGTGAATGTCTATAAATAAATTACGGTTTATAATCACATAATTTACATATAAAAACTACCAATAATCTATAACAGTATCTCAGTCACGTGCAGATAATCATATCGCATGTTCTATTTAATATTAAAAACTAAAAAAGATACAGTCCCGCTTAAACTTAATTCACGTGCTAATGCCCCATAACCATGGTATTAGTTTCTTTTATCAAGGAAAATTACAAATTCCAATTGTCCATTAAAACCCTAAAAAACATTTTCGCTTTTTATATTGTGGATAAGACATGCGTTTCTTTCTTTAAAAGTTCGGGTCTGACGTACTTAATATCCCCACCGTTGTCTTGCAGTACCGCAGTTAGAAGTGTCACATGACTATAAGCTGCAAAGCATGTCCGCATTAATTTACAAATTAGATTCTACATGGCCACGGTCGGCATGCATTAATATGTGAATTAGAATTAGATTATCGTCTATTTGGATAGATTTCAGATCATAATACATGTGTTTTGTTAAAGGAATACAATACAAAAATGATAGACTATTATTTTCTATCCTATTTTAATCTTCAACCGACGGTAGTTGCACTGAATATTCATGAGTATAACTCTTATTGAAAACCTCAACAATCCACACTTCACCTTAATGTCAAGTAGTTTGGACCTAACTCTAATATTTGAAATTGTTCTAAATAATAGAACAATGCCATTGTATTCAATAACCACATTTAATCTATCTGTTGAAATTTTTATTTGTTCAACATGTATTATGAAACACAAATACAACGAGAGACGAAATTCCCTTTAGTAGATTATTATACTATTGAGGTAAACGGTAGAAACTGCCCCGAATTATTTTTAAAATTTGAGAAAAACCCACAACATTTTCAATAACCGCCTTGTTTTCTGTCTTCATTTCAATTAGAACTTTGGAATTTGATATTTTCGTTGTGAATAGACTGGAAACCGGTATATACAAGGACGTCAACTGCCAGGCAGTCATTATAAGTGACGGAATTGGCTTATAGTGTCAGTAAACATGACATACTGTAATAGCCAGCGGGAAAACTAAGATTAAGCCAATAACAATCATTGTTAAAGACGGATATCTTATTAAAGATGTCACCTAACAATGGTTGTCTTATTAGCTGTAAATTGATTGGTCAATAATTGTCATGTTGGCACGCGCCAAAGGAATTAATGCAGGCGGGATTTAACGTCACGTCGGACATATTAGAGTAGAATAAAGCGACCTTCAAGCTATCATTTCAATAAAATGGTCACATTCTTTTGATTAAAATAAGTAACGAATCAACTGGGACACTCATATATTACTAAGAAATTAGATGGTGGGGATATCGTTCAAAAACCCTTAATCGATCAACTTAGGCTATTATCAATCCTTCATCCCCTTATATTTTTTTTAAATATATATAAACATTACTTTATTGAAAAAATATAGAGGTTGATATTGTTTTAAAAGAAACTACAATTTGAATTGAAAGGCTACGTAAGGAAGAATGGAATGAATCGATCTTATTTTATTATATAATCTAGATTTGTCTAATGATTTTAGTTCTATCCATATATAGATGGGAACAAGGGGGGGGGGCGGACGAACCCTGGAACCTGTAACATTTCATTACCAAACCAAAATAATAATTACGAACAGTTTACTGTACGAGTGCTACTTTATTGAAACCAGTGCTACTTTATTGGAAGCTGTAACTAGGGGTAATTTGATGACGATATGGAAAAATTGACTACCTACAATTAAGGAGGAAGATATCGTGAAGATCAGTGTCTGTGGCGAGACCCAAGGCAGTGGTTAGATAGCCTGGCGATCAAAATCATGAGAGGGGGGGAGAGACCTATTCGCCCCCCCCCTTCCGATTCTAAGCCCCCCCCCCCCTCATCAAATCCACGCCCATGAATGTGAAGCATGCATGTTGTCTGAGTAATGTGTTTGAAAATGCAAAATAGTCATAATGGGATAAAGAAGTCGGGCTTGCGACATACAGTGCAGGGTGCAATGAGTGTAATTGTGCCCGGAAAGTGGCGCTACGACCTACTCTTACTTCGAATTCCAGTTGGCAATGGTTCTTTTACGTGCACGCCAATGTGTACATGAGTTTTTCATCCTATCTGAACGATTAGACCCTGTTTTTGCCAGCCCCAACCCTCCTGCACCACTGACAATAGGTAAACACACCAGAAAACTCAGAGAGACTTTCTCGGTCAACACCGGGGGTGAAACCGGGACCTGTTTAATTAGCGAGCCACTGTCTCACCCACGACTGTTTAAAGTAAAAGTATAATTTCTATACCTTGAAGACAAAAATTTGATTGGCCTTTAGGATCTATACTGTAATTAATATATTTATTTTCAATGGAATATGTAACATTAATTAATCTCACAATGTTGAGCAGGTGATCGGTGTTAAAGGAGCTAATAAATCTTTATTCTTTGGCAACTAGAAATGGGCACAAATAGGTCGCAACGCATATGATAATGCAATATGAATGTATATAAACTGATTTTATTCAATCGTTTTTGTTTTTACTGTGCTTTCTAATCAGTTATGTTCAGCGAAATACGCGAAGAGTTCAAATTGAATGACAGCCTTTGCCGTACAGTTATTTCAGTCTACACCGTATTCTGCTATGGGATATGTTTAGCCCCGTTCATCGAGTCGCTTGATTACAAATAACGTTCGAAAGCATTCTGGCACGCGATTCGCGTGTCAATTTTAAAATTTCATTTTGTCATAAATATCAGAAACCCATATTTTCACGGTAAGATAACATTAGCAATATTGATTTAAATTGACCAACAAGTCGAGACTGGGGTTGATAAATGAGTGAGCGACTTGCCTCCTTTAATCTTTACGGATGATAACTACAGTATATACAGTAAACCAGGTACTAAATGGTTTCAGTTTAACATTTTGTTTCTCTTTCACTAAGCTCTTGATAGAACTTCTACAATAATTTTCACGAATTTCTTAAATATCGACCCGAAAGAATTACTTTTAGGGGTTGGCATATCACTAAGGCAGGATGTTTCAGTTCCCAGAGAAAGAATTAGTTCAGCAAGAGGCGAATTGTCACTGGCTGTTAAAATAATTCTTTCAAAAAGTGAACAGACTTGAATTTTAAGTACGTCATTAACAATTAGTAAAATAAATATGGTGTATATATTGACAATTAGTAAAATAAATATGACAATTAGTAAAATAAATATGGTGTGTATATTGACAATTAGTAAAATAAATATGGTGTATATTATTGACAATTAGTAAAATAAATACATGGACATGATATGGTGTATACCCACTCACATTGTATATGCCTCAATCTTTTGTAAATGAAACGAAATGAAATGGGTTTTCACGTCCTACTGTTCTGCGTAATCTTTTGAACATTGGGTCACCATAACTGATTCGCTTCGCTTGAGATCCACACAAGGACCGGAGCCACACCGGGTATTTGCCTGAAACTCATTTTTCGCTCCTTAATTCTATTGTCACATTGAACACGTCAGTTTAGGAACTTGTCGCCGTGCACTGTTCTTCTGATCCACACAGAACTTCAGAAAACCACATGGAATTATCTATAAACTTTCACATATTGCTTGTTTTACTCACTGGAATATATCTGGGTCGGATACTTTTCTCATATAATTTAAAGGAAATTCAATGGGGTTTAACGTCCTACTGTTTTGTCCCGACTGGGCTAATGAAGACGAGCATAGGTCATATACATTGAGCTATGAGCTAAATTTTGCCCGTCAGCGGAGCTACGGCCTACCTACTTTTAAATCGAATTCCAACTGCCAATGGATCTTTTACGTGCACGCCAATGTGTAAACGATACCTCGGGTTTACGTCCCATCCGAACGACTATGCGTTGTCCCTTGCCAGGGACACTGTCCTACACCAATGACAAGGACGAACCACGCTGGAAAATCCCAATGAACTTTCTCGGCTAACGCAGAGATCGAACGCCGGACCTCTAGGTTAGTGAGCCACCGCGGCCCTCATCAGATAATTTAAGTTCGTATAATATTACAAAACTATATAGTGCAATTACAATAACGTTAATGGTCCCTTCATTGGTATAATAATCGTAATCCTAGTTATGAACAAAATCATTTTATTTAAGATTCAAAAGGAATTACTAAATACTAAAAGTTATTTGATTTTGGAAGTATGTATATATACTGGGTTGAATATAGCAGCCATTGTGCGCATGGTTTGGGGGGGTATTCTGAGTTGAAGATAGCAGCCATTTTTTTGGCGGAAGTGTATCCAGTAAAAGTCAAAAATGCATCACAATGTATATACCAAATTGTCTTCATCAAATAGTTATCAAATTTAGTTGAAGTCCAGCTTTCATGTAATTTGATCTTAATAATATCAACCGCACAATTTTCTTTTCAAAATCCAGAAATCGCTTTTAGGGAATACATCAAAAATCCTTACATTTACTCCGCTGGGGTACATCTTTCAGCTTCACCCCTATAAGATCCAGCCCTTTCAATTTGACAAATTATCTTGATCACCTATAGGATGATTCCTACCTAATTGCAAAGTAGAATCTTAAGGCCAAATAAATTTGACCTGTGTCCGTGCCTCGCCTGTGGGGGGCACGCAACTTCATTGGAACAAATTGCAGACGTAATTACTATAATCCCCATCCGAGTAAAATATCTACAAAATTTCGTTATAATCCAGCAATAAACTTATGTGAAGAAATCAAAAATGACCAATACGGACAAATGTGACGACATTAACTTTTTGGGCCGATGGGGTAATAAAAAACAAAGCCAAAATGATCAACACAACATCTTTAATATAAGTCAATAAACATCGACAAAATATAAATAAAATTACACAAAAGTGTAAAACGATGTAAATATAATGCACTTTCTTTTGGACATCTTGTAAATATATTGCACTTGTCATGGGACAAATATTTGACGACTAGACTTGTAATTTAAAACAGCATAAAACTGGAAGAAAATGTATTTTATAAAATGTATAATGAACTAACAAGGCACTCCGATAAGCAAAATAAACTCTTTTGGCTTATCTTTTTCGTTAATCATAGTTGAGCAACTTTCGGGTATTTCGTTGAATATATGAATGATAAATAATAATTTATAACAAAAATTTAATATAAATACACAGAGATTAACCATTCTCTACAAGTTGGAGAATTTTATTAACAAGAATTTGCAAATAATGATATTTATTACAATCCCGAATATTTTATTGGTAGTGGCTATGGTTAGTGCTAAATGATAAGGCCAGCTCAATTTTTCGTCATAGGTCACGAGATGTATACATTGCCGGCGCTAATCCCAAGCCTTACCCCAAACCTGGACCTAGCCCCAATGCTTACCCTAATCCTAACCCACAATCCCGTTAACAATCACGTGCCCTAACCTTATTTACATCTCAGCAACCTTGACAAAAATTGACTTGGCCTTAACAAATAGATTTAGCCGAGTGGCTATAGTGAGCACCGGGTATGATGCACATAATCAAAAAAAACCAAAAAAAAAACCAATAGCATCTTTCATAAGGCACTGATATAATCATTAAAAAATTTGCAGCATATACGTTATGTAATTTGACTAGAAGAAATAATACTTGAAGATGTATTTTGATAATTATTTTATTTATAAGTTAAAGTTATATTTATACTATGGTTGCGAAGCGCATCTCTCTGATTTGCCATGTGTTGATAATAATCACCATGGTAACGAGCGTATCGTTGCTGGGTATCAGCCGGCTGACAAACGGAATTACGGCAATCGTTCATAGGAATAGTTTGATTATGGGCCTGTTCGTTAACTAATGACGTCGACGGGTTTGAATCTCTAAACCGTATCCAGGGAATATCCGCGTCCCGCCTTAGCGTATTTTGAACGTCCATTACATCAAAGGCAGTTTTTGGAATGTCATTGCCAGAAGTTAGTTTACTTCCGTTTGATGCCGGTTTTAATTCTTCAAATCGACGCGGAGACGATGACTGAATTGAGCTAACACACTTTGAGTCGGTAGAACAATTAGTGATTGAGCCATAGTCCAAATCTAAGGAGTCTAAATTTACAGATGGCATTGTTAAATGATCGTACACGTCGGGCACTTGTCTGTGTATCGATGGTTTTATAAATGATGTCAAAGGAGAACAATTTGACTGGCCAGATCTGGTCCGCGAACATGATGACTGGTTGACTTCCGGTTCCGGTTTTAAAACCAGATTATTAAATTTGTAATTATCACCATCATTTAAGTCTTGGAATCGGGCACTACCACTAAATAACGAATCGTAGAGATCGGGTAAAGTTTGGTTGTTGTGAAGACAATCAGTCACACTTTCATTTCTTATCGAATCATTTTCGATTGCAGGCTGTGGTTGATAACCGTAAGATGGCACACTGCTTTGCTGAGGCAACGGAACACAACCTCGTGTTGGATCAGAATACAATGATGGTGGTGTACTATGGTAGCCAAGGCGGTTTCTGTGGTAATCGTAACCATGGATTGTAAAATCAAGTGTTGGCTGTGGATTATAATTATTACTAATGTTGATCTGTGTAATGGCGGCGGGTGGCTGGAAGGTATCTTTAAACATATCACATGTTGGTAAAAAATCTTTGTACCTCCGATTTGTTCCACAAACACACTCAAATGGTGGACATGAACACAGCACATCGTCGCCTGCAATACAAAATCCAAAGTTATTTCAAATACATTACAATAAAATTTGAATAAAGATCTTAATGTCATCTGTAGTTTTAAAGTTTCATATGAACGTTTTTTATTCTTTGTCCAACTAACCGTTTTACTTTTTAAAATTACCACGCCCCTTCCATTCCCCATAATTTAATTTAAAAGAGTGTTTCGTCCATATTTTAAGCCCTTATATATCTTTTTTAAAATCACTAATTGACATAATATGTGACTTACCAGTTGTTTTGATGAGATATTTAGATGGGATTTCAGAATTATGAGGAGTCATATGTCGCTTTCTGTCACCAAGAAAAGTCTGCAAAAATTAAAAAAAAAAACATTGCACCAGCGATTAACAAAAGAAATCAAAAATAGATGAAATAATGTATCGTCTTTCATTGTGGATACTATAAAGTAAAATCCATTATTCAGTACTGGTGGACTGGCGGCAATTAAACTTTACTCTTGCTATAATGCGGCAAATGAAATGAAATGGGGTTTAGCGACCTCACTAATGAAGACAATCTTTCGTCGCACCCGAACACTAGACATGTTTCGGAGGAACTTTCTAGACTAACAGCGGGATGGAATCCGGGACCTCCTATTTAGTGAGCCCTCGCACTATTGACCGAGCATTGGTAAATAATGGCCTGTATATTGAAGAAAACAAAATATTATATACCTTTTGATGTCGAAACAAACGATTGGTACTCGTGTGACGTCGACTCTCTGCCACAGATTTTATTTCCGGCCGAGGATGATCGTGGTGACCTTTGCCCTGGAAGTAAATAGCTCCGTTCACATGACGCCAGAAGTGGGTGACGGGATAACCAAAATGGCCACGACATGCGAGCAATTCCAGTTTACCAAAACAATTAGGGTTTGAACAAGCTTTTCCTATAAAGATAAAATAAAAGACATGTTACACATATTCAATTATAAAATTTAGTTAGACTCAGAACTCTTAATTTCAGTAAGGGGTTGGTTGGCCGAATGGTTAGCATGTCCACGTTGTATCATTATGTCTGTCATTGAGTCAACTGGCGTGGTATCGATTCCCCGACTGTACGTGAGTAGGGTCCCTTTCGCTTTCCCCTCTAAAGACCCTACGCGCAAGCGAATTATTGAAATAAAATTGAACCATATGTTAGTCCCGAAATAACCTAGTTTATGTCGACTGGAAGTTACCTCCCCCCCCTCTCTCCCTCTCTCTCTTTATTTCAACTAATGAGGACTCTTCACGTGGTTCACAAAGTTATACCTTCCAAATAGCCATTGTGCGATTCATATAACACCATGAAAAGACAAGACATCGGCTATCGAAATTTGGGTAGCGACGGTCATTTTGGATGTCTCGTCTTTCGTGCTGATTTTTGAAGCAAACATTGGCTTTATCCAGCCCAGGGAGGTATCAATTTAGTTGAGAGATAGTCATTGTACAATCCGCTTTCTACGCAAAATTGTAGTCCTACGATCTACATGATTAATATTAGAAGTGTTCTGTATTTTCAATAATCTACGACATTGTTATATTATCAGTGAATAGTAGACCAAAATTATTCAATAAAAGTCAATGGCATAAACTCACCAACTTGTTTTCTTCTTGCCTTATCACATATTGCTGGTCTCAGATGAACTTTTTCTCCGTTTTCTAATAAACAATCTTGATTACAGACGAAAACACCCAAACATGATTTTTTCAAGATGAAGGCATTATGATTATTTGTATTGCGCATGGCCCATCCACTCACGTGACGCTTAGCATCTTCCTGTTCCTGGTTGTAAACATAACGACTGTGTCCATTCGGCCATATTTGAAATTTGTCCAACTTTGTTAACTGAAACGAATTAAGAAATATTTTATTAACTAATCTTAACAATGATTCTTTTCTATATCTAAGGTGACTCAGTAGGTCAAACACTTGTTCGCTAACCAGCCTGGAAGCCTGGAAAGGAACCGTGTCTAGTCGCTCGAATGTCACAAAAAAACACCCGAGTCCCCGTTTACACATTGGCATGCACGTAAAATAATCATTGACATATGGAATTCGAAATAAGATTGGACTGTAGGGCAAAGTTTCGCCCATAGCAAATTGCATGGCACCGTCGGTGTAAACAAGTTGGAAATTAAACTTTCCTTTATAATATGTTAAAGGAGGCTGCCACTAACATCCATCTGGTTGATGTGGACATGATGCAATATACCAACTTATTCAGCGCATATGGCTTTGGACATGTTCGTTATGGTAGGTCGAAAAATGACGCATTAGATTAGTTCTATACACGAGTCCATTAAATGTTAAGTAAAACAAAATCCTTTTGAAAACACATTTATTTTTGTGGATACACTTACCGTAGGTAGAGTACTATCATTTATATCCCATTGGTGATAAGATGACTGACTCTCACCGGATGGTAGAGGTATGGTAGCTGGATCGCACAGAGGTACCTCCGCTTCGTGGCGCTCCGAGGCCATGCCTGTGATATCATCTGTTACTAACATCTATTCTATGTCTGCAACAAAAACAAAACACACACACCATTTTAAAACTGTTCATAAATTGTAACAAGTATAGCTTTAAATGCACTTTTAACTACTTGTAATAACACCAGATAACAATAGACAATACGCATATCAAAAGATACTTATTAAAAGGTTATTTATTTATCAGTTGGTTTGTTTCAAAAAGAATGGATTTGGTAATTCTGAATACGAAAACGACAATATTAAATATATAATAATCATAAGATCAGGGGCAGATTGATCAGTCAAAAATATGTACTATTTTAGTGTAAAGATTGTTGTTTTTATGTAATTAGGCGCATCAGAGTATGCTAAATGAGCTGGCTGATAGATATAGTAGTGTGAAACCAATAGAATCTAATAATGGCCAAATCTGAAATTAGAACTGATCGATTTAAAGAATCTTTGGAACTAATTTTTTTTTCTTCAGCAAAGATCTTTTTGGTTGTTATTAAATCCATATTTTGGTTATTTATAGGATATTTTATTACGTTAATTATTTAATGTTTGGTGATTCCTTTGCATTTAGGTTTGTAGTAGGGGTTGGGGCTGGGATGGTTGTAGGTGTGTAATTCTTGTAAATTGAAATATAGAAAGTAAGGTACACCATGCACTGCTCTTTTGTTTAGTGATTATAATATAATATGCGTTTATTTGAAATAGATTTACATTAACGATAAGGGTATTTTTCAATATATTGCTCTTATTACACACAATGAATTTTTCTCCAATATTCTAGCCTACCTTTTCAACCAGAGAATGACGACAATCAATGGTAGAACCGTCGAATCCCGACGACTGATTCGTCTAATATTCCCTTAGTGTCAATAATCGCATGTATATATCAAATATATCGTGTTGAAATTATCCTTAAAGATAAAACATCACCGCTTTAGATTGAGACTCTGGTGTAAAACATGGTGTCACGTGCCCTATGTCGCGTGCTGACACGCTCTATTGACCCCTCTCTCATTGTTAAGTATACGTTACTATTCAACAAAGCTTCATCAATCAAACAATATTTCTAACGGATTTAGTTTAAACATTAAATAATACAATAAAATTTAAACATAAAAAAATACTATTAAAGGGTTATTTTTTATGTTTATGCCATAAAACTAAACAAATATGGCTGTTCCAACCTCGGATGCAAAACCAACACGATGCAACGTCGATGACTAATTTATATAAATCGAATCGGATAATGCGCAATTATAAAATGCAATACGTCTTTCGATAAATTTCAATGCAATACGTATTTATTGTTGAAAACAGTTATTTTTCTCTTTACATTTACTGTAAACAGTAGTATTCTTCAATTTGAGACGGTGCATTTTTAAATCTTTCTAATTGGAAATAAGATGTCATATTAAAGAAAACTTTAAAAAAATTTATAACTGCCATTTGACTTTTATCTATAAGAATACTTCTTAATTGTTTTTTCATTCCGATTTTACACCAATATGTAACCAAACATAAAATATAAACAATATTTGTGTGTTTGTGTTTAGCTGAATGTGGAAAAGGCGTGAAATGACTAAGCTATGATAAAGTTTCCTCTAACCAAAAACTTTGATTTATCATCAAGTGAACTTCGTATAATAGAATAACCATTAGTATAATTTGGTAATTTATTTATTAATCCTATAATATTGAAGTCATTCTAATAAATAACAAGTAATGTTTATTTTTTGTTGCATGGTCAGTGTCTTATATCGTTTTGATTTTGAGTTAAGAATTTGCCAGAAAGAATTTCCTGAAGGTAACGAACCACACAGTCTAGACATGTATTGTATTTTGAGAGAGTTTCCTCACAAGATCTATAATAGCACGATAATCATTAATCTCGTCATTAAATACTTAATAAACCAAATACAATATAAATAGCACCATTTAATGTCTTGTAAAAAATATGGTTATTATGAAGCAACAACCCCAACCGTTTGATTCCCTATAACAAACCAGCAAACAAACAAACTCTCTCTTTAATAATATTACATGTGAAATAAATTTATAAAAATTAATCTAAACAAATAATATCTGAAAATGTATTAAATAAATATATGTTGTGCTTTTAAGTTAACCAAAACAACAGAAATTACATATTATAGTACATAATTTGACAGAAAAATTACAAAACCCTATTTTAATATTCCCCGATGTTTGATTTAAAACATTTTTTTCTGTTCAAGAAATTATAAATTTGATAAAACAGATAAGTTGGGTGTTACTGCAAGTTTAAATATATGCAAATCTACAAAATTACTTTAAAAAGAATGGTATAATGAATAACTTACTTCTCAAGATTTCCGGCTAAGTTATCCTACTGCACGTGAAATGTTAGCTGTCTTGTCCGATAATACTCCCTGTCCTTAATATCACTGCTATTAAACTTCAAGTCCCGTTACTCTCAACGAAGACACACCTTGAACCAAGAGGCTCGTTTCATTGCACGCGCGCTGCCAGCATTGTACCCTCATTATTTATACACTACATGATACGTTCCTGGCGCGTGCTTTTAACCAATCGCGTTTGTAGAGGCTGATGACGTTTTGGACATTTTTAAATATTTGTTAAATCTAATTGTTTTTATTTTATTATTTATGAACAAAAGACCGATATCATTATAGCTTCAAGCGACATAAAGACAGTCTTGAAGCCACATGCATGTGCTTTCTTTTGATCTCATTAGATATTAAACAAGCATTGGATTGTTTCTAGCAGTTATTGACAGATCATGAATAATGGACTTTAGTCCAATATATACTGACAGGCGGTTAGTGAGGAAATTTTAGGAAAACATGAGCATTTCAAATATATATCTTTTTTCGGAAAATACCTGACTTTTAGAGCGTATATTTTCAGCTTTTCGGTTTTGTTTTTCTGCATGAGTAAAACATTCACAGATCGCATGCGCTTCTTCTGTCTCTTCCAATTGATTTTCCTGCTTTTATAAAATGTCTCATGAAACAATCCACGTCAAACATTTTCAAAATACTGGAATATTTTTCAAAAATTGACTTTCCTATCCACACCGTCTTTTACGTCCCATTCCACATGCCCTCAGTTCAATACTATTTTAAAAGTTTTCATTAAAATTCACTAATCCAAGTCAGTCTATTCACTATACGTATACTGCACTATCGTGGATTTAATACCAGGGTCATGTTCGCTAATCTTGGATACATCTTGCGTTTTATTTCACTTCTCTGACACACTTAAATTACTTTTTTAATTAATATTGTTCCATTTCAACTCGGAAACAAGTAATACAATTTATTTAGATCTTAAATTGTCGTTGAGAAAACCAGCTAGACCAAGCATCTGTTGGGTTTTTTTAAATATAAAAATACGACCATGAAATAAACTTTTATACTGCATGTATCAAGAACTTACATAGTCTTTCACCAGTAGAGCAGAGACATGAAGGCCATTTCGTAAGCAAGTCTTATGGCAAAGCTTTCTTTAAGAAAACCCGCCAAGACAGCCCCCGTTTTTAATATGATACGTATTGATTAAAACCATCTTTAAACAAATAAGTAAAGAATCAAAACAAAACCACTGTCTCAATATTTCCTCTTCATGCAGTTAAAGCATAAAATAAAGTTTTCCAAATCTGCACCGAAATTTCGATCTCCGTTTATTCCTTGGAATTGATTTGATGTATTTTAAATATAGTACTCGTAGATTAGAATATTTGACGTTATTGATCCATAACTAGTGCTTCTCGGTCCTCTGTGGTCAGTGGCCATTAATTGTGCTGCTAATTATGGCACTGATAATTAATTATATTCTAATAACCCCTTTAATTCACTGTTCAAATATATCACATCTTCGTGTCTCGTGTCAAAGGGGGATAACAAGCATGTTGATATTTACACGTGAGATGTTCGCGGTGTGACTATGGGGGCTAAACTCACACCACACGTGACCACCATGTCCATATCTATTTAGTGAAGTAGATTTATAACATTTTCTTGAAAAGAAGTCATAGGATAATATGGTCAAATTATACTTGCATGTTAAATCTCCATAGATAAATATTTCATTTAACTTCAGTGATATTATAGTTATAGACTTCATGGATTGACATGGTTCTTTATCCGATAATATTTTGAATCTTAAATTTGGTGTAAATTATTATAGGTCAGTTTCAAATTGTACGACGCCCCAATAGGGTCGTTCCGGTCAAATTCTACCATAATTCATATCACTGGCAGTGGGTGCTGCAAGGGTGATTCTTTTACGAACTTATATCTCAATGATATAACAAAAATCCATACAGTCATTTCCTCACGAACCGCTTGCCAGTCATATATTTGTAAAACACCATTTAAATATTAATTTATTTCCTTGTTTAGAAATTACTAGTATAACATTTTTTATTTACTTGATTGTCATTTCATTTTTAATTTACACGGAAAACTCGACAAATTGGCGGTCATTAGACTCGGTGTATCAAAATCTAATCTAGATTACTTTTAATAGAAATCAGGACATTTCTCCACTTCAGATTGCGAGAAGAAAAATCAAATTATAACCGACTGGTGTATGAAGTTGAAGACCTACAAGAGAGACAGATTATGTTGATTATCAAATTAAATTCTAACAATACGGGGTCGTATAAAAAGACAGACAGTGGCAAGGTGAAGTTTTTGTGGTGTTTTGGAAGTGTTTAAAGTATAAATTTATCCAAATAATGGTTGTTTGGTTTTTTACTAACAAGGGATTAATCTTTTCCTACCTTATGTCCGATTCTATAAATCTTAAATGACCCTTTCAAGTAACACTCTAGCCATAATAACGGGTGTTAATTTCTAACTCTTTGACGTTTTTTAATACAATAAACGACCCAAAGAGAGTCAGGTATCCACTATTCTCTACAAATTTGTTTCTTGTTTGGTGTGTCCTACGGTCAAACTCATATCATATATCGCTACTCCTACAGACCATGCCACAATATTATTTCAAGAATAAAACAGCGGACGACGTTTTTAATTTAGCGGTCAAGCATCATATTACCGCGAACAATAACAGAACTAATTGCTAGTTAGTGTGACCTGAGGGTCCATACTTCAGAACACGGTGCTAAACATCCCCTTTTAATATAGCAAATACAAAAATTGTAACAAAACCAATCCCCTAGCGTTAATATTTCTGTTCGCCTGGTTGTGTGAATGTCGACCGCGAAGAGGAATGGTTATTCAAACAAAATTTAGATAAAATATTCTCTATATATGATAGATTTAAGGACATTTAGTTAGTATTGGGTGGTATTTGAGTAGGATTGAAAAAATCGTCCTACCGAAACCGGGAGTAAGACTGGGCGTATACGGAGTCCAATTCAGTACCCTTCGCTTAAGTTCGTTAAATAAAAGGGAGGAAAGTTAAATGTAGGGTTTAAACACACATTATGCAAGTGCTAAATCTGCTTATTGCAGGTCTTTCTTTAGGCCTGAAATGTTACCGAAATTATTAAATAGACATTTATTACCTTATCCAGACCGTAATCAACTCTCGATGTCATCGCTAGCCTGCGATATTTACTGGATTTGAATACATTTTGTGATGATTTAACTTCAAACTGGATAATCGAGTCTTTGTTTATTTATCGTACCGACTTTAGTAATGATGAACGAGGCTAGGCCTAAAATCCAATCGCTAATATTTCGGTTCAGAGTGGAGCAGTTTGACTGAAATTTCAGCATATTCTCTTAACTTTATCTATTTTTATCTAATCTTCAATAATGTCCCTTTAATTCTTTTTTTTAAAAAAAAATATTCTTTGATTGAATCAAAACCAATGTTAATCTACCCTGAGTTTGATTTGCTCTGGTTATTATTCTTGCCATTTTTTTCCAGCAAATTATAGCTTCCACAGTTATCGCCCTTGATAACTTCGCAGAATTTTGCGAACGCTCATCCGATATGTTTAAAATTAACATGCATTTTTAAATTAGCGCAAAGAAGAAATATATTCAAGTTCAACAATTAAAGTTATAACTCTTGTTCACTTCGTAAATTATTTACTTGTTCACTTTGTAAGTTATCAGATCTGCTGAAAGGTTTATGTTCTGTATGTTTCATTGCCTGGCAACCTATCAGTTATTTTTATCGCCATTTTCTTTAATAGAATAAATAATAAATAAATTCATTTTCAAATCCCAGTATTTATCATTTTGATCAGTTTAACAGTTATGAATGAAGCAGTAATTATGGTTAACTGTTCAAATTAGTGATTGAAACACCAAGTTCAAAGGCAGTTTGGCTAGTTGTTAAAAACTCTAACCAGATTTCGTTTCTGATAAAATATATTACAGTGTTACAGTATGTATTGTCTCTGTTAACAACAGCTTTACAATCTATTTATAAAAACATAGTTTTCCATCCCCCATCCAATAAATTTTAGTCGTTTCTTCTAGTTGTGTGTAAAATGTGGCTTTGAGTACAACAGCTTGGAGAATAAATTGATATAAACATGCGATATTCACTAACCAATTCTTACATAAAAACAGTACGTTTGTATTAAACAATTGTACTCACGAGCGTTTGTTAATAGCATTTATTATCTCTTATCTGGTACCTCTTATGTTCGACCGATAGAGGGTAGTGCCCGTTTGGCACGAATTCTACATATGTGTGTTAAGCCTATATGCGGAAGGCAATTCGAACAAAACCGGGAGTACAACTCTGTTAAAATAAGAACTTTTCTGCGCGAATACATATTACCATTTATTCAGAGCACCTTTTGGAAATTAAATGAAATGAAATGGGGTTTAACGTCCTACTGTTCTGCTCCTATACTGGGCTAATGAAGACGGGCATACGCCATACAGTGTGCTATTAGGGAAATTTTGCCCGGGCAGCGGCACTATCGCCTACTCTTATATCGAATTCTAACTGCCAAGGGATCTTTTACGTGCAATCCAATGTATACACGGGACCTCGGTTTTTTGTCTCATCCGAAGGACTAGACAGCTGTCCGTTCTGCAGAACTGACAAGGGGAAACCACGTCGGAAAATCCAGTTGAACTTTCTCGGCCAATGCAGGGATCGAACACCCGACCTCCAGGCTAGCGAGTCAGCGTCTTAACCACCTAGCCACCGTGGCTCCCTTTTGGGGTTTCCACACTGAACTGCAGTAATTTAAACATTATTGAGTTGTATTGTTAATAACGTCATTTGTTGTATGGTTATTATTCAATGAACTGCACATTAAATACAATGTTTGAAGACAAATTCCCTAATGTACCAAAAGCTAGAAATCAAGCGACCAACTGTGGGATGATAGAACACTATTCATGGCTATCTTGGATCTGGTTGAAAAAACGAAACGAAATATAGATCTGTAATTTAATCAGATTGGCTCGGGGCCCCTATAGCTCTAACGTATTTTCGGGACTCTTTTTTAGCTTTGGGGGGGGGG